AGAGCTGTGTGAGCATTCTGTTAAATGGATGTTGGAAAAATAGTTTGGGAAATGGGGATTTATATAAGAGCTTCAAAACAAGAAATATCTTTTAGAAAATGCAATGGGCTATCAATTTTAGTGAGAATATTTTGTTGTTATTGTCACTCAGAGTGATTTGTATCAGTCCTAAGTCCAGAATCCTCCCAATAAAAACATCCTGAAATAATTTATTAAAATGTTTGTACTAACATTGTGTAAATAGATGAATTTTCTCATTGGTAGTTACTTTATTTTCCTGGTGAGCAAACTGAGCTTCAAAGAAATACCCCCAGAGTCAGGTGTAGAAGCAGAAAGTCTGGGACCTAAATTCTTACCCCTAATTTCATTGATCTTTTCAGTGCCTCATACCTTAGCAGAATGTCTAACCAACTTATTTTTCTATTTTCAGACTCGAAAAATAGAATGTAACAAGTGGATATTCTATTCTTCAAAACAACAAATAGCTATAAAGTTTTTTGGGTCTTGTATGACTACAAATTCATGCTCTGGTAAAATATATGAGCTGTGGTTCTATAGAGGCAGAAATTTTAATGTCAAAGTCCCTATTTCCAAAGTAATTAGCTGTTTGTGGAGTGTGCGCGTGTGTGTGTGTGTGTGTGTGTGTGTGTGTGTGTGTGTGTGTGTGTGTTTAGAGGGTGAGACGGGGTGGTCTTCTGACCTTGAGGCAGCTGCCATGGTCAAGCTCAAGTATCAGCCAGAGCAGCTGCAAAGTTCATCTACCAAATAAGGAGACATTTATTTGGAAATTCCTGCTCCCTAAACAGTTCCTATTAAATGGTTTGGACAAATTCTAACCTCCCTGAGAAGAAAGAAAGGGGAAAAGAAAGAAAGGAGAACAGAAACATTACTTCTCCCACTTCTGAAAAAATCTAATTGCCATTGACATTCCCATAAAATACCCAATGGGAGTTGAAGCAGTCACTGTGTTAACACCCAGGTATAATTTTCATGTAAGTAGTGTAGGAAGAGGAAGGGCAGCAGATGGAAGCAGATTGAACCAGGCATCCCCAGGAAGTGAGGCTCATAGAGACTGCTTTCCAAGAGAAGCCAACCTGTATCAAAAAGTCTTCCCCACCTTATTATTGTCCTGTCTTCTGAGGTTAACTAGGGCCTGGTGTAATTTTTTTCAAAGTAAAATTTAAAATTAACACATGACATAGGTCAAATATCATTTCCACCAAACTCTTTGCATTGACTGAGTATATAGCAGTCATGGCCCAGAATGGTGGAACTTAGAGGGCAATTTTGTAGCTAAAGACCAGTTCATGTAAGAGGCTTTGCATAGTTCGACCTGTGACCTCCTTCAAAAGATTTTCTGGGAGGAATGGGGTGTGTGAACAGTTTCAAAGTGTACCCTGCAGAAGGATGTCTTCTATGAGATCTAACTTGATAGAGGGCTGAATTCAAACCTAGTTGAGAAATTATTTTTTCTTTGAGAATGAGAATGGGAAGGCAACAATGCTCTTCTGATCTATCAAAAAGCAAAGTCCCCATTCCCCACTGGTGGAGGGAATTGATGTCTAGTTCTTGCCATGACCATCTTCTAACACACAATCTGCCTATGTGATTAGGTGAAGAGAGAAGGTACATGGTAAAGTAGAGATTGCATGAAATCACAGGCAGCAAAAGTAAAGGCAGGTGAATGGCCATGAGGAAAGCACCTGGTAATAGAACACTGGTCTTAAAAGATTTGCAGTCTGGCTGATGAGGTCTGAAGTGAGTTTACAGACGAGCACGTAAGCTGACATGCTTCTGAGTTTCTGAGGCAACCTCATTCCCTGACATGGGACCAGTGAATCAAGGAGAACTTTATATCACACTCTAAATGTTCAGGGGAAGACTAATGATGAAGTATGAAATTCCAACAAGCTAACCTTGCATTGGACAAATACTAATTTAGTGAGGTGATGAAGGTGTATCAGGCCTGCAAAAAGTTCAGAGGACAGGAGTCTGATACTTTGGTGAGGTCTCTATCGATCTGTTCATATCTTCTTTCATGGATCAAAGAGTGGTACTCCATCATAAACAGATTTTCTTCTCTATGTGACAGGCCCTTTCTCAAACACCAAGAACTACATAAGCATGGTTCTTTGCAAAACTGAATGTCAATTCACCCTACCTCCCCTTGTCCCCACTTGCCTCACCCTCATCCCACCAAACAGGCACATGAATGTCAGTGTACATGACATGGGCTCAGTGGATGGCAGACAAGAAGCATGACTCTCCCCCTGCAGACTCAGAGAAGTATTACAAGGATGTATCAACCAAGCCCCAAACCTGACTTCTCAGAATGTAAGCTAGACTCTGCAGACAATTATTCAGATCCACATTAGATTATTCCAGTAACGCATGGAGTTTTCTCTCTCCCCTTTTGCCCCACTGAGTCCATGGCCAATACGTCCTCCCACTACGCTTCCACATAAACAATGACAGCAGGAGGAGGTAAGCACCTGAGCAGACTATAGGGGCACAGGTTTCTGGCTAACTATTAACCAGTGGGGGCAGGTCCCACTCACACACAGTTAAAGACATGACAGGAATCCACAAAGATCCCACTGCCTTTGCTGAGAAGACAGCTAATGAGGCAAAAAGGAACTGTATGATGGGAGCTTCCAGAAGAGTCAGTGTCAACCCTGTAAAAAGTCAATGAGCCAGAAATAGCTGAGGCCTTTCAGCACAGTCACCCTGAATTGCTTCTGAGCTATAGGCACAGGGAGCTGGGTCTCAGGTCCAACAGGGTCATTTACTAAAATTCATGGGGTTTGAATCTTTAAATATAATTAATTAAACTGGTAACATTCAAAGGATTATTAAAGGAGTAAGATGTCAGTCCCTGAACAAACCTCCCAACAGTAATCAAGAAAAGGATTGACTATGAGAGAGGTGTCTTAAAAATAACCTGCTGTTTGTTGGCTTTATAACTTTTCTCTGGTTCTAATTCTTTACGGCTGGTATGTGAACATTGATCTCTGACTCTTCACTCATTCAGATCTCTCCTGGCTGCAATCCCCCTGATAATGCTGTACCCAGGGAACTTTTCTGTTAGGGCCCCCCTCTCCCAGGACAGACTGTAGAGTCTGAGGGTTCAAAGACAACTGAGAAATCACCTAGTCCAACTGCCCACTAGACCAAGAATTGCCTATGTATCCCCAACAGGAGTCATCCGGCCACCTCCTGGGCCCCTCCGGTGTAAGCAGATAAAATGCTGCTACTTAATCTATGGAAATTCCCACAGCATCATGGATGCCTTTTGAAACTGCTCCCCCAGTTAATGGCCATTTGGAGGGCCCATTGTCACTGGATTACTGAATAATTGCCCACGGAGTCACTTCTGAATCAGGATCCCCTCCATGCAGGATTAGATAATGGAGCAATTCTCCTCAGGAAGGTGCCTTGAGGTGATTGCATTGTGGGAGCTCCATGCCACAGTATTGTCTAGGAACTTGGATCTTTTTAGGTGGCTGAGCCTCAAGGTGGGGAGAAATTCATCTCTGGGCCTACAGAAGAGAAACATGATAAAAGAAACTACATGAGATGTTAGTCAAGGGAAAAGAAAATGTTTCCTACCCATTAAAGTAAAAATCAAGCACTGAATCTGACTCCAGATGTAGTGAAGTATAAGAAAAGCCAAAAGTGCTAGGCAGATTGCTAACTCCTGTGAGGAAACAAGAAGAACACTTCACTGATATTATCACAAATAGTTTTCCCAACATCATTCAGAAGGACTTTTCATTTTGGTTCAGAGCCCTATTTTGTGCTCCTCACAGGGTCTGTTCAGAAAACAGCTCCTCCTCACTCAACTTCCACTAAAGATGTAAGAATTCCCACAAACTTTCTAAGAATAATCAAAGTCCACTCCATTTTTTAAACCTGAAATCCACTTCAAAAGTTTTCCTCAAACCAAACATTTATTTTTGTCATTTTCATCTGTGAAAATAAATATATGGCACAAAAGCCTGTTTGTTACTTTTAATTTTCCAAAAGTCATTTGGTTTTTTATCTCATGAAATGAAGGTTCACTTGAGCAGATATAGTCAAGATAGTAGCTAATTTTCTAATTTTTGAAAAAATATTGTCTGTTGTTGGTAATCACCTGATGACCCAGGAGCATGAATGAGAGAGTATTTGTTTGGCAGCCCTCCTTGTCTGGGTGACACTCCCATCCACACAGCATTTAAGAATGCTCAAGAGTACTGAGTAACCACGAACATTCTTCCTCACGAAGAAATTGTAGATTTCTTCTGGGGAATCTTTGAGCCATGCAAACATCTAACCAGTGTTAGGAAGAAGACACTGATGTCAATCTTTCATTATAAGAAAAAGGAAAAAAAAATAAGTGTCCCTTTTTATAAAATTCAATGGTAGAAAACCTGTGCTTTTCTGCTCCCAGGAGCACATGCTTAGGGAAAGCAGTAGTTTAATCAAGCCAAGACTATCTTTGTCTAGCTGTAGCCAGCACACTCCCAGAATCCATGAATCACAGGTTATTTTCCAGAGCAGACTTAGAACTCAATTCAAACATACTCTGTGAGGGTTGCTGGGAAGGGCACAAAAGCAGGTCATTAGTCTTTGGAAGCCCAAGGAGGACATAGAGTCAGCTGAGCAAGGGCAAGTGGCCTTGCAACGGGAACAGGGACACCAGCCAGTCACTGCAGGAAAGCAGCTTTCAACTGCATGCCTAAGGGCCAGGCTCTCTGGACCCCCTCCCCTGGGAAGCCAGGTGTGAGGTCACCACTCATGCACAGAGTGAGGTCAAATTGATTTTTATGTTTTGTTTCATGTAAGGTTTAAAAAACAGGTCAACATGAGGCTTAAACAATATGCCAGGGTTGGGGCTGAGCTGTTCCTGAGACTTTCCCAAGGCCATGGTTTCTGTCTGCCCCTTAGGAAGCCCTGGTTACTAGCAGGACCCAGGGTGGCACAGGGGAGCATTCAGACACAAGAGCATCAACACTAACCTGAGAAGTAGCTGCAGGTGAACTAGTTTCCTTACCACTCACTGCTGCTCTCTCACTGGCTGCGGCTTCTGCCACTTCTGCCTTCTGCACACTCGAATCCTCAGAACCAGGAGGCCCTATGTGCCCCAGACCTTCGCTCACTGGGGTGGAAGGTGGGTTGGTGGTAGCTTTCCGGGTTTGGCCTTTATACCAACTAGGGTAAAGCAAGGGATCCGCAGTGTCCGTTGCTGTAGGGACTGGAGTTTCAGACTCTGTGGTCTGCAGAGAGCCAGTGGATACAACCTCCCCCTTAATCAGGACAGATACATTCAAAAGTAAAACAAGAAAAAGAAGAAGAGGGGAAAAAAGGCAGTCGATTTTAGTTCCCTTCAGGTTTGACAATTGTGAGCTCTGTGTGCAGTGCCTGCTTCAGTGCATGCTTTAGTTCATCCCACCCTTGGCAAGCGCTAAGGGCAGAAATGCTAACAGTACCCTCTGCATAGCCTCTGAAGTTCCCCTCTTCTTTTCTGGGCTTGTCTTTCACAAGATGGTAGCCTGACCAGGAACCCTAAAATGAAGGTTACTTACAAAACATTTGATATGGGAGAAAGGTCAAACTACTGACCAATTTAATTTTTAATATATGTGGGCCCCTGAAACCTCTTTTCTAAAACCAGCCATTGAGCTTCTTCCCATTTAGTTATCACCCCTCTTTCAGTTTCAGTGCAATTGGTATACTCAGATTTTCAAGATTTTAGGAACTATAAATAACAGTATTTTAGCCTGGTTGTCTGTGGAGGCAGAGCATAGATGATATACTTCCATCCCCCAGGTCTCGCTCTAAGGTTTTGTTTATGTAGGTAATTTCAATCCACTGTGAAAGCAGGTGCAAAAACAGGGCTCATTTGTGATGAGTCTGCATTGTCCACAAACTCAGCAGGTTGGGAACTGTCTGCTGAAGGTGTCATGCAGTCAGCACAAAGGCTTGAAAACTGGCCAATGACATCTTAGAAATTTAAGGTCAGCCAATCAGGTACAACATTTGGGATGAGCTAATTGGCTTAGAACATTTTTAAACAATTCTGTCAACACATAATCTTATCAAATGACATATATAGAAAATAAGGCTTCATTTGCATACTGAACAAAAGTTGTATTTCAGGGTAAGGAAGAGGGACGTAAACTACCATAGCTTCTCTATTCACTTTCTATATTATCCATTAAAAAAATCAGAGTTTCCAAAGTACAATCATTGTTATTTTTCACCCTAAGTTACATAGTCTCACCCTATACCTTATATCTATATTCAGAGCAGACCTAATCTTCATGAAATTGGCTCTCTATGAATATGTAACATATACACAATTTCCAGACAAAGATTGCCTCAAATTTGAGGGTGTTATTAATGGAAAACCATGTCAAATTAGTTATAACAACTGATCTGTTGAATAAGCTACAGGGGCTTTTCTCCCAGACATTGTGACTGCCCTGAAATCTTTTGTCTTCCACATACAAAAGTCTGTCATAAAGTTATCTTTTCCTCAAGGCAGAATAAATTGTTTAGGCTGTTGGTCAAGGAAGCACATGGGCATGTCCGGTAGGAAAGAACTCATGAACGGTTACCTGTGTCACTGGGGCATCTGCAGCAGGTGGCAGGGCTGGAGATGGCTCTGGAGAGGAAACAGGAAGTGTTGCTGGGGCAGCCTGGACCTCTGAGGCCAGCTGGGAGGGCTCCAAGGCTTTCTCCAGACTTTCATCTTCTTCTGATGGCTCTGTTCCAACATGTTCTACCTCTTCCATTTTTACTTCTTCTTCTTCTTCTTGTCCTTCTTCCTCTCTGTCTCCTCCTCCTTCCTCTTCTCCTCCCTCTCCTTCTCCTTCTTCTTCTTCCTCTTCATCTTCTGGTAAGGTAATGTATTTTTAAATCATTACAATGACCACTACAGCCATGAAAACAATTAATGGCCAGGGCTAGGGAAATCATCTCTAACAGAACTTGACTATCGCCCAAGTATGCCATCATGCTGGAGTTTTTTGCTTCTAGTTAAATGTGAACAGGACACATGTGAAGGGGGCCAAACCATCACCATCCTCCTTTCTCCCCTCCCCAGTATGATGTCTAGTCCTCACCACCACCATGCACCATCCCCCTGACCCCCAGAGCCTGTTCACATTGTTACCACACACTGTCACATCTACAAGCTCCAGAAAGGTTAGGATTGTCACTTATTTATCTCTATCAAGTCAAATGAAAATGCAACTCTCTTCTTTATCTAGTTTTATTTTAATTTCTTACTTCCTTTGTTCAGTGAATGCTGACTTTTGCCACAACTAATGTCATCTTTTCCTAACCTGTCACTCTTAATATTCCCTCGGACAATAAGGAGAGATGATATTAATTTTTTAAAAGATCCATCCGGAAAATTTAATTCTAAAGTTATATCTGTGGACACTAATACAGCTTCCTGGCTTTAACAGTAGTCTAGCTGAGGTGCCTCATCACCTAGATGGGCTAGGATGGGTGAAGACCATCAAAGACTTGGTCAGCTCCAAGGTTATTTTCCTCTTTTCAGTGATTTCATTAGGATAAATTTCAGGAGTGGGATTTCTGGGCCAAATGGTAGGGATGCATTTATAACTCATGGAGTACATCTGGTCACATGGTCCAAGTATTATTACCAGGTTGTGACTTATTCTTGACTTGCTACTATTCGTGCCCTTGAAAGTTTAAGTGGATGAACTACACTATCTATCCATATGTCTTCTATGTTTTATTTTTATCTCATCTCTAACCTTGCACCTAATGACATCTTACATCATTGTGGCTAATACCTTGTGGAGGGTTGAAATTGAGATTTCATCATCACCATCAACTATTAAGTGTTTGACTACCCAGAGTCAAATGCCCAATAATGGCATTATAATGGGCACTGTGATATGCAAAGCTAAATTAACACTGTCAACAAACTATATGATTTTGTAATGAAGTAGAGCTTCACATTAGATAATATCCCTTGTAAAATTGTCACCATCCATTCTGAAAGTGACTCTGAATCCACCTTTTCTCCCACTGAACTCTCTGCAGCTTTCACACACTTGCAATTTTGGCCAAATGGTCACAAGAATAACAAACCTCTGTAAAAATCAATTTCACGTATTATTTTCTCTTCTCTATTGAGGTTGACTGTGAAGTGGTTCATGTTCTCATAACCATGCTCTATTTTCTCCATCTGAAATGCCTTCGATGCTTCAGAAATTCTGCAACAAAGACAAGTTGCTACTTTCTGTCACTGTTTACAGTTTTGATAGCCTTGGATAAAAATGAAGAGTATTGCATTTTTCCTTAAAATGAAAATTACTTACTTTTGTAACAGGGTTTTGGCATTCTGTGAAAGCAAACAAAAGACAAGCCTACTTAAATTACTTTCATCAAACATGATGTTGAGACTTAATTCTTTCCTTTGCTGACTGAAAATCTCATATTTTAAATTTTAAATGCCATAAATAACTGCTCCTTTATACCAGAACCATCTTATATTTAAGCAATGTCATGGTCCCTTAAATATATGCTCATGAAGTTGTTTAAGCAGATGGAGAATAAGCACATGATGAACTTATATTTTAGTTGGTAAATAGATCAGGATGAGATGTACATAACAGAAACGTGATGACAACCACTTCTCCAACACCCATCTGCTTGGTTAGTGTCCTCTGATGACAAAAGGAGACTTACCTGCAGAAACACTGCCATTTCTGGCTCATCCATGAACTGGATTCCTGACTCGACCAACTTTGATACATTCTCCAAATGATCAGAATACTTTTTGATCAGAGCACGGACATGTTCCAGTTTTTCCCCTTGAGTTCGGGTAATGACTTGGGTCATCTCATTCTTCCTCTCCTCCAGGATGCCATACAGGTAATCAAACTTCTCACAAAGTTCCTGTTTCTGTTTTTTGCAGCATTCCTATTAGTTGGGTTAGCTAATGTTAGAAAGTGTTTGAAAGAATGTCTATTTGGAAAAATCACCTGGACATTTTGGAACATAAGAAACTTTATTTATGTAGGATACTTTTCCCTTAAGCTATCACTTACAGATACCTACTTGTGTTTACAAAGTGTTGATACTTTGAAAATCCTACTTTTATCCAATTATATGGCCAATCCAAAAGTAATCAAATTGGCTAAATGGATCAATTATTTTTCCATATTCTGTTCTTTATAAATGGATAATTTTATAGAAATTAAGACAGGTTTTATTTTAAATTATATATTGGTTATATAGCTTATAGGTTTATATTTTGCTTTGGAGTGTGTGTGTGTATGTGTGTGTGTATAAGGAAAAAACTACGGTACTTCCTAGTTTGTACCCTCAGTCTTTCTCTGTCCTGTCTATACTGCTACTGTTGTAGTTCAGTCATCCCATGTAGATTCTGAAGCTTCCAATGGCCTCAGCATCTGGGATGTCCCCTTCAAGCGCTTCTGTCAAATTCATTTTCCTGGGATACAGTGCTTTTTCTCTATTATGACTCCCCATTGCCTAAAGAATAACACTTTAACTTTACAACTGGCTTTCAAATCTTTTTATTACCTGATTCCAGCTTTCCTTCACCATATGTTACTCTTCTCCATCACATACCATGCCTGTGTCCAGCAAAAATTAATCACTCACTTTGTTTTCTCATATTCTGCCTCTGTTTAGAATGTTCTGCCCCAATTCACAGTTGCAAACGCTAAACTATCTTGAAGACTTGTTGAAATGCCACTTCTTCCTTGAGCTTTCCTTGATCTCTATGTTTGAATGTCACTTTTTAATCTTCTGAAATTCCATAATACTTATCATTTGTGGCATATTCTTGCATTCAGGTGCTCTATTTATCTAATACCGTCGTAAGAGAGTGATATATTGAATCCAGTGATATATTGAATTCCTGGAGGGAAAGGCTGTATGGGAAGCCAGACTTGTCCATTTTCACCGTGTGACTAAAGCATCTCCAGTACCAACCAGCTCACTTTATACTCTGAGTCCGTGTTTAAATCCAGTTAGGCTTTTTGGTGTTTCAAACTCCAGTAAGCTTGATGTGTGTGTGTGTGTGTGTGTGTGTGTGTGTGTGTGTACCTGTCTCCTTGGACCTGACCATGTGGGTCCAGGACCTTTATGGCTGAGAGCAGGTTTTGAGCCATGATGATCCAACCTAGCTCTCCTGCCTGGTGGGTGCTTCCTAGACCCAGCCAATTGATCTCTGACATATCCGACCTTTGTACGGTCCTTATTACCTATTCTTTTATTTAGTAAACATTATTCTCTTTGATATCACATATTTATTTCTTTACATGAGTTTCTTAAAAATCTAAATAATAATCTCCTTGGGGATAGAATCCAGGTCTTCATAAGACACATACCACCTTGGACAGATGTTCAATAAATATCTGCTGAATAAACTTTTTTTTAAATCACGTTTCCTTTTTCCCCAATTTCTCTACTATTCTCAGACTAATAGGAGAAAAGGAATAACTTAAAGGAAATTGTTAATTATGAAGATGCTCCACAAATGTGCAAGCAATACATCCTTCACTCCACTGCCTCCATTGGATAATATAGTTAGTTCTCATAATAGTATTGCTGTCATCCACCCATCAATTCATTTAACAAATGATTCTTAAGTATGTCATTTGTGCCAACCACTGTGCAAGGCTCTGGGGACCTAACAATGACTTAAACATAATTCCTGTTGTCAAGGAGCTCTCAGTTCACTGAATGAGAAAGACTATGGACCAATAATATAATATAACCTAGTAGGTGAATAATTGAAATATATTAAGGATTTATATCAGGCTTCATAGAAGCATAGAGGTGGGGCCTTAATCAACCCTTTGTGTGGGTGGGGGATATCTGAGGGGAACAGGACGAGGGTGGTGATATTAGCTCAGGAAGTGGTGCCCACATTTGGCCAAAAGAGATGAACAGGAGTACAGGAGGGGATGAAAATGTGTAGAGTCTTGGTAGCTGTCAAAGTAATAGGACATGGGCCCACACAGCATGTCCAGACATGAAAATTGCTGGACTTACCAAATTCCCATCCGTTTCCAGCCCTTTAGCTTAAGATTTAGACTATTATGCAGCCTAGGAACTGAAGCCTGTTAGTAGCTTCCCAATCAAACTTTCTTTCTCTGTCTTACTTCCTGTTCTAAGCTTACAAGCAACTATGTGCCCATTGCATTCCTGAAATATGCCTTTGATGTTCAGATGCTGTACTGCTTACTGTGACTATATGATGGTTTCTAGCTTAGTTTTCTAAAATGAATTGTGCATTTAAAAAATTCAGAATAATGAGTATTATATTAGTATGTAATAGTAGAAGAATGTATTTGTTTCATAAAAGTTTTCTCTTATATGATTTAATATGTGTGAGAAGTTTGTGAAAACCGAATTCTTTTCAGTGAGGCTAATGTGAAGTCATGTGTCATGGCTAGTGTATTTGCTCAGATCAAAGATTAGATCACTTAGTTGGCCCATATAATTTTTACTTAGTGGCTTAAGTGGAATACCATGTGTTATTTTATTTCTATTCTGGTTTCTAATGATTTGCACTTTATTGATTTTTTATAAAATTGCTATCATTTTAATAGCAACTACCATTTGCTTATACTTTACAGTTTAGGAAATGCTACTCCATGGCTAGACTTTAAGTAGCTCACTTTTTCCCCAGGCACTTATTGCTGTCTAAATGATCTTGTTATTCATGTGTTTATTATCTATATCTTCTACTAGAATAACATCTTCCTAAAAAGCAGGCGCCTCTTCTGTTTAGTTCACCAATATTTTCCCAGCATTACCTGTGCAGACAATGCCCACATGAGAAATATGGTGTGAATTGATTGAGTGAATGAATGAAATCTAAGAATGGTCAATCCTCATTCAAAAGTTTCTATTTTGTTCTGTCCCAAAGAAATGGCTATTTAACTGGATATCCCAAGCCTCTTCTTAATTCAGTGCTCAAGAGAAAAAAGCCAGAAATAGCTATGCAACCCCAAGGAAACCATTTTACCTCAAGACAATTTTTTCTTCTTAATCTGTACATTAAAGGATGGAATTAAATAGTTGCTCAGATCCCTTCTTTCTCTACAGTTCCAATATTTTACAGTTTATGAAATGCCTCTTTATATGTAAAATGCCTCTTTTGGTTCCTGGCAAGTTTCAAAGTGGTCATTCACAGCACTAAGATATAAATTGCATGCTCTAGCCCTGCAATGTCAGCTTGGCAATGTGCCATGATCACGATAGGAAAAAAACTGAGGCAGTTGTGACCACTGCTCTTACCATGTAAGGAGCGTGGCTTTGTGACCAAAATAGAGCTGAAGATAAGCTTTTAGCCCCACCACTTGTCATTGAGCAACTGGCTCTGCCAAGCCTCCCAGTATTCCTATGTCTACCACGTTCCTCCATTCGAGATACACTTGTTTAGAGCTGCAGCTCTGGGTCTGTAAGTGCCCACTCAGCTTCACTTGAAATACAGAACTTCAAAATTCCCTTCAATAAGCAAAAATAAAGGTGTAAAAAGTAGACAGTAGATTAATAATGCCAGAGAAAGAACTCTTTAAGGTAGGAAGATTCTCTCAAGGAAATCAAACCCAACTCCTCACTTATAAAGGCCCATTAGAAGCACTTGGAAGAAGTCCCAAGAGTGCAGACCAGGGTGAGAGCCCAGGTCTCTGCTAGGCTGCACTAGAAAAGAGACCAACACATTAGAAAGACACTGTCTCTCCAGGCACATGGCTGGAGTTCAGCCCCTCTCTATCCATCCGGCCTCTGTGCTGTGTTCAGTGGAACAACTCTATTCAATGGCCTTGGGACTCAAGACTCCCAAACTCATGCTTTTTTCTACCATATTGTATCACCCCCACTTCATGTTAAAAAAATAATGTTATAATTTATGAAAATTCTAATGCTTACTCTTGGAGTTCTTGGCATTATGGGTTTTGTGGATTAGTTCTGATCATTTAAAAGCTCCTTGAATAAACTCCCTGAAGGTTGAGGGCCAGGTGAGCCCATCCTGACTCAAGCCCCATGGTTCAGTAAAAACCATAAGACCAAGGCAAGCTGAGCAGCTGTTCAATTCAGTCCCATGTGCTCTGGGTAGTCAGTATGTTTCCCGGAAGAGGTTCAGTCTCCCTTGCTTACCAATATTTCAAGTTACCATAAAGCTTCCTAGATAAAGATAGAACTTCCATTTATTCTCAAATGTTCCCTCTGCAGGGAGTTGCTTCACCCTCCTATCATAATCAACCAAGAGCCTGACATGCTCATTCTGAGTCCTTTCAAAAGTTGCTCCAGATGCTCCAGTGGTTTAAATGACCATGAACATCATTAGAATAAAATGACTCTGAGGATGATACAAGGTGACACTTATGGAGCCCCTGGCCTGTGCCTCTTACACCAATTTAGTCATCATGACAACACTGTGAAGAAGGTATTATTATCCCCAGTGATTGTTACAGAAATTAAGGGACAGAGAGTTGAAGTAACTACATGCCCAGTTTCCTATAATTAAGTGACAGTGCTCTGATATGCACCCCTATGTTCATTGCAGCATTATCTATAATAGCCAAGTCTTGGAAGCAGCCCAAAAGCCCATCAGTAGATGAGTGGATAAAAAAAAAAAAGCTGTGGTACATTTACACAATGGAATACTGTTCAGCCATTGAGAGAGAGAGAGAGAGAGAGAGAGAGAGAGAGAGAGAGAGAATCTTACTCCTTGTGACAGTATGGATGGACCTGTAAAACATTATACTAAGTGAAATGAGCCAGTCAGAGAAAGACAAGAATCATATGATTTCACTCATATGTGGGATCTAATGAACAAAATGAACTAATGAGCAAAATAAAGACAGATTCATAGATAGAGAGCAGGCTGACAACTGTCCGGGATTGGGGGGTAGGGGATGGGGGAGTAGGGAGATTGAACAAAAAAGAAAAAACTCATGGACACCGATGTGTGGTGATGAGGGGAGGTTGGGAGGTGGGGAGGTGTAGAAGAGTGTAAGGAGGGATAAATGGTGATGGATGGAGAATTGAGGTGGTGAACACACAATACAGTATACCGATGATATGTTGTAGAATTGTGCATCTGAAACCTGTATAATTTTGTTAACCAGTATCACCCTCCCCCTCAAAAACTATGATAAAAATCAAACTCTGAAATCTGTTCTCTTAAGCATATGTTATATTGCTGTTTGAATACTGCCTTAAAAATGAGAGCATGCTTATTAACATGATTCTTATTATAGTCATGGGCAATGTTCCAAAGCTGTTTGGGTAAAATCACTATTTTGGAAATACAGTGGATTTTTTCTCACTGCAAAATTATTAGAGAACTTTATTAAAGTTGACATTTTTCAGATATTGCAAATGCTCAAAATCAAATATTTATTATTCAATTTGTAGCTGTTTCCCCTAGCCAGGTATCCAGGAAAACAGGATTATTTCTAGCCTGCCTGCCTACTAGCCTCAGGAAGGCCAATATTAATTGTCTGCTCTCTTGGGGTCCAGTGATATAGGATAAGTGCCATTTACAAAGACTATATGGGGGAGCTTACATTTTCTAGAGATGAAGAATGAAAGTCAAGCACATTTTTCTGGAAGCAGAGAGCTCCTGAAGTACACTTCTCCACTCCCACTAGCAGCCCGCCTCCTCAGTCCCAGCCTGTCCCAGGACATTTCAGGGCCTGGTAAGGTGAGGGAAGGTAGCCCCAGACCTTGCCCTTGCAATCCAGAGCCCTGGGAATGCCTCAGCCTGAGCCACATCAGCCAGGATGGCTAGAAGGACAGAAGGCTCTTTCATCTGTCATCAGAACACAGCAACAGGGAAAATGCCACTCCCCTCACACAGCTCAGACTGCCCTTCTGTGACTCTGCCACTCTCATCATCAATGGGAACTCACCTCAACTGAACACATTACTTTTAAAGGGTAACAAGGAGTCCACAATGTGATTTCTCCTAAGCTCAGCAGCTCGCCAGGGCCAGTCCAGGGCCAGGTGCCTGGCCAGGCCAGCTCTGCAAGACACTGCATGATTAGGGACAAAATTAGACATGTAAAGGGAATGGACACTTGACCAAAGGGCAGATGTCAGGCTCCTCGTGGGGAGAGGCAAGTAATTAGGGAAGCACAGAGCCCACTCCAGGGGCTGCTCCATTTCCTGTCCCTCAGGGGTTCCTCACCAATCAGAAAGGAGAATTCTTTAATAACAGTACCCCACCCCTTGATCCACAGCCACCAAAGGCTTTCCAGCAGGTGGTGAGCAGAGCTGAAAGGGAAACAACAACCCCAGGCAGAACCAGGGACACAGGAGCTCTGGGACCCTGACCTGGGTACAGAATTCACCTGCTTGGCGAGGTAGGACAATTTCACTCTGAGCCAAGGACCCAGTGTGCTTCACTAGCTGGCTTCTGGGACAGCAGGAAGTGAACCGCTGGTGCTTCACCCACTGATAAGGTCTTACCTGTACAGGAGAGCACCTTAGTGATTACAGGCGTACACAATGTTGCCATTTTGTGGCAGCATCTCTGTCCTCGGGCTCCTTCACATGGGGGATATTGGCCTCAAGTGGGAATCCTAAAATCAGATACTTCCATGGGGCTCTGAACCAATCCCTGCATTTCCTGGTAAGCCACCTAAACTGATCTGAAGGAACTGTGCTTATCTGAGCCATATTCACTCATTCATTCACTCACCCTTACTTATTTTATTGGATATTAAAATGTCAAGCTTGTTTTAGAAAAATGTGGAATGCAGAAATATATAAGGAAGGCATTGAAAATCGTCTGTGGTCCCACTATTCACTGCTCTAAACCTGGAGTTTTTCCCCCTATGGATGTGGGGTTATTTTTTAATATATACATTCCATACTGTTTTATATACCACTTTTTCATTGGATTTTCTTAAGATAAAACCCCAGAGTTGAAATAAACAGGTAAAAGAGATGGGCACTTTTAAGACTCCTGCCACCCTATCAGTAGATAGTCTGCCTGTGGACTGAAGGGCCCCAGGCTTGATTCCAGTCAAGGGCACGTTCCTCAGTTGCAGACTGGATCCCAGGCTCAGGTGGGAGGCAACCAATCGATGTGTCTCTCTTACATCAATGTTTCTCTCTCTCTCTGTCTCTCTCTCTTCCACTCTCTCTAAAAAAATTTTTTAAAAATCAATGGGAAAATATCCTCAGGTGAGGATTAACAACAACAAAGACTCCTGCCAATTTGCAGTCTCATCTTGAAGCCTTCCAGGAGACAATTATACACCCTCCTCTAGTAACCTGTGAAAGTACTTAAAAAGTACTATGTTCGAGGAATGCTTTTATCAGTAATTATAGAGATAATAATTCTGATGGTCGCTTCCAGGAAGTTCTTCCTGACATCTGCACTAAATCCGTTCTGCTAACATAACTTCACACCTGTTCCTTCTAGTCTTGTTCTCAGTGGAAATAAAAACAGCCACTTCCTATTGCACCTGAGCTCCCAGGAACAAAACTGTTGTCTAATCTCTCCACACCCTCTCAGTGTCCTCTGACACTGGCTTTGCTCAAGGCCAACTGCGACTCACAGGACTTTTCTCCTGTATGTGTCCCCAACCTAACGTCCCTCACAGAAAGCCCTCCCATGATAGAGGTATCTCTGATGAAGGCCAAGCAGAGACAAGTATAGAGATTATCTCACTGGCCCACAAGCAACACACTCCTATTTATATACTCAAGACTCAATTGTGGTACTACACTGGAGTGCTGATTCATGGCTTATTGGTTGAGCTGTATTTGACCTTTACTGTAAATAAGTAAAAAGAGAAAAGTTAATATTGTCCACTTCAGAATCTTTTGGGCTTTTCACCAAGAGAAAAATTTTCTTCTATGAATGGATCCCAGATTTATGGGTTCTCATAGGAATATGAGTATGGAGAAGAGAGAAGATTGACTTTCATGATTTGTGAATCTAAAATGAGATGATTATGGCCAATATCTTGAAGTCATCACCTAGGAACTGGCCTTTGGCTTTTGATAGGATGTGCCTTTCTAATGATAAAATAATAAGACTATGGCATTTGCTGGGCACTCACCACATGCCAGGCACCATGCTAAGCATTTTGCTTTTATTCCTTTAATTTCTCACAGTAACTATGAAGTAGGTACTCTGGTTACTCCACTTTTACAGAGGAGAAAACTGAATGACTGAATGTACATGTGCTTAGTTTTTTAAAAGTAAGAAGCAGAATGAGAAATACAACACAATGCCATTTATCAAATTAAAAGACATGCATATAAGACAATACATATTTTATAAGGATACAGGTAAATGGAACATCAAGCACGTTAGAGTGGTTATTTACAGAGAAGAGAACAGGAGTGCAAAATAGGGATAAAAGGAAATAAATAGATAACAAGAGGGGCCTTGCCCACAAATATGAAGACAATTAGCCATGAACTGAGCAGTACAATGCCTCAACACTCTGCACCTGAAGTCCAACTGAAAAACAAATTACCCTAAAACTTTGAGCAGGGAGGGAGGAATCAATGGCTCCAGGGTACAGGGCCAGAGACCTAGATGTCTTACCCCTGTCTCTCTGCAGCAGAGCTCAACTAGTCTGTGAATCTTCAAGTCTTGACAAGATATCTGCTACAGAGCTAAACCTTTTTAAGTTCCAGCATTTTGCCTTCAGCAATTACACTGTTTATCATTGACCTTGGGGAAAAAGTGGATTTCCTATGTTTTTAACATGCCAAACCTAAGTCTGAACTAAATAGCCAGCCATTCATCCATTTATTCATCAAGTTTTCATTGAGTGTTTATTATGCGCCAGGTACTGGGCCAGACAGAGGGCAAACAGAGTTGAACGAACCAGAACTCAGGCCTCCATGAACTCCCAGTTAATGAGCCATTCCCTAAGCACAATCAGGCAGTTCTTTCTTCCTGCTGGCTTTTTGCAGCCCCACTATCAGAGCACAGATATGCAGCTCAAACTAGAATAAGAATTTCTTACTGGCATTTCTTAAGAAGATTTAGATTTCCACAAAGAAATTGTGTTCTAAAGGCTGACAACACTCATTTTCATTATGGGGAATTTCTTTCCCTGTAGCTAATCTTTCAAAATGGGTTGACCAAGAAGACCAATGCATATAACAAAACCCTAGTAAATATGGTAAAATCACAGGAGGTGAATATTTTAGAGACATATCAGGAAGGAGGTCCTTCTATAAGATGAGATGGAAATGTTGAAATGGTTTTCTAGTGTGGTGTTAAGGAAGCCACATCCCTAGGACTTCTGTTTTGGTTTACACTTCTGTGGAGTCTTACTTACCTCAATAGTTTTACAGGTGTCCTCCAACTGGCTGATCACTCCCTGGACTCGATCATTGCTTCCCACAAGGACAGCAATGCCATCACTGAGCTCAGACTAATGAAGAGAAAAGAGGGGTGCAAGATCTTAGGGGTTTTCTAGTCAGCACTGATTGTGAATTAATCATAGTGTTGTCCTCATGGGTTCTTAACCTAGGATCTATAAAACCCTAAGGAGGAATAGAGAGTCTCAGGAGTTCTGTGAACCTCCTAATCTTGTAAGTAAATTCTGTATGGATGAGTATAGAAATGCATTTGTGTGGGAAGAGGCTTCATATTTTTTCATCAAATTCTTACCAGATTGTGACCCTGTTAAAAACATTAAGAATGCTAATTATAGGCCATAGGTAGAGAATAGCATATTCAAGCTAAAGAATTTGAAGTATTGTTTATAAATTAAATGGAGTCCAATATGTGACATCAGAAACAGAAAATAAATGATTTGCCAAGTGCAGCTAGGGATTAGTTTTACTAGGGAAATGTATATAGTGACTACTCATTCATCTATTCACTTATACTTATTCAACATATACTTATCATGCACCTTCTATGTGCTAGGTGTACACATACTCGTGTACTAGACTAACTCACTACAATGTAACTTGAAACTACTAACATTCAACTGGTTCTAGGGGAAATTCCTCTCAGACTCTTGACAAGAAGAGATTCCATTGTTTGTACTTACTCCCTTCCCAGGGTTGGCTAAGGAGCACAAAGGAACACAGAATGGGGAAGTAGGAGATCTACCTGCTTGGTCCAACTCTGCCTTTAACTTCTCTATGATGTTGGGCAAAATGTGTAATCTAATTTTCTCACATTTTAAGTGGCAAGAACAGTGGTTGTAAAAACAATTTAAAGCTGCAGAATGCTTTCTTCAAATGGAAGAAATGGATGAGAGTGAAGCTATTTTGGCCAAACAGGAGTGGGGTAAAAGTCCTGCCATCTATCCTTCTGTTCATCCCACCTGAGTCTCCAGGGCATGGAGGGAAGCAGTGTGAAACTGGTACTAGTCAGTTCTAGTACACTAAGACTAGGGGTGGAAGGAAAGGAGGAATAAATCACAAGTAGAATAAAAAATAAATGTTATAGACATCTTATGAAATACTGCTTTTTTAGCAGTTAGTACTCACTGGTGGGAATTGGTGGTGTTTAAAAGTTTGGCTTCCAAATTGGATCCTCAGTAAAACACTGAGCAAATGTGGAATCTATGATTCTAACAGAAAAAAAAAATCAAGGTGTGGAGCTGCTCAAATTCTAGGTGTCTAGAGTGGCTACACCTATTTGAGCACGTGACTCCACATTTATTTGGATCAAATGGATAAGTTCCTACTTGTCCATGGGTGAGACCATATTGGCAGGTTAGTGGTAAACTGGGGGAGATGCTGCATTTGGTCAGAATGAAAGGTCTGAGCCTGAGGCCCTGGGGTGGGGACACTCAGAGGAGGCCTTTCATCAACTCCCTAGGGCAAAAGGCTAGAAGGTGGGTTTCACCTAGTGTTGAGGGCCCGCCCAGCAATGTTTTATTTATTTTTTTAAATATGTTTTTATCGCTCTCAGAGAGGAATGGAGAGGGAGAGAGAGAGAAAGAGAGAGAGAGAGAAGAGAGAGAGAGAGAGAGAGAGAGAGAGAGAGAGAGAGAAGAGAGAGAGAGAGAGAGAGAGAGAGAGAGAGAGAGAGAGAGAGAAATATCAGTGATGAGAGAGAATCATTGATCAGCTGCCTCCTGCATACCCCGCACCGGGGATCGAGCCCACAACCCAGGCATTTGCCCTGGACTGAAATCGAACCCAGGACCTTTCATCCTGCAGGCCCACGCTCTATCCACTGAATCAAACCAGCTAGGGTCCAGCAATGTTTTAAATTGTTCTTAAAGAAATGCCATTCATTGTATCTCTCCTGTACTAGGAGTGGAGGAAATTGGGGGCCGGGTGGAGGGGGGCGGGCGAAGAAATCTTTTGTTGGTAAATGAAGAAAAACATTCTGTGACTGGAGTAAAAAGGTATTTTTTTCTTTTCTGTAGTCTGAACTTCAAATAATGTTTGAGCAGCTGGAGCTCAGATTCCCGTAACAATGTTCATCTCCAGAAACCTCTAAAGGGTGCAAAAAACAGCAACCCTTCC